AGCTGTAGGCGTATCAAGTTCGATTTCTTCAATCATCTTATCCTCTAGACCTGCTTCATGACGCGAGTCCGGGAGTGTTAACAGAGGTACGATCTCAAGATCTTCGAGGTTACTGGGCTATGAAAAGTATACAAGTTGTTAGATCCTCAAATGCTTGATTAACAAAAAAAGATAGTATTGATGCTATGAGTGGCTCACAGAATTGAACACAACTGACCAGATTTGTAAGTCAGTTCGGTCTATCCAAATCAATTGTGGCTCCAATAATTCGGCCTGAGAGACGGAAGGGTCCGATTCGACATCATGACGATCTGAAGGGAAGAGACCCGACAATAGATGGTTTTCTCTGGATTCTAATTTCAATTCATCTGAATTGAAACTGATGCGCTTATGTTCGATAGTTGGATTATATTGTTTGGGTAGCTTGAAGCGATGTATGTTTCCTTCATCGTATTGTTTAAGCTGAGTGAGACAGGATCAGATTAGTCAGTCGGTCATAGCAATTTTCAAGCTGAATCAAAATGCTTACGAACCTTATAACATTCGAATTTACTATTCAATAAATTTCTACATGGATTAAAACAAAGGCAATCCACTGATCCGTTCGGGTTCTTTGAGGGCTTCGACAATGTCATGTTGGGCTATCTGAGAATCGGAGGTTTGATTCGACAAGCGCTTCGAAGGACCAACCGAATCGACTTTGACACTCTAAAAACTACGAACCCAAGCACTTGTGGTTCGAGATGCTAAGAAGATGGTCAACAGGTCTAAGATGGGTTGGTATGTACCTCTAATACAATCCGATGCGATCGACGATGCTGGCAAAAGGAAAAGTCGATTTCTTGTGCAATACTGGTTCATGGGCATTTGTTCCAGGGGTCTTGACTTTTTGGATGTCCCCTAAGGTACCGTGGTACCGCATCACTACTGGCAATTGGACGTCGCAGAATTCGCGAGAGAAATTTAGCAGTTCGTCAAGAGGAAGAAGAAAGCGTGCTGCTCAGGTCCCACATTCTTTTACATGCGTCTTGATCTTGACAGCGGCAATTTCGACTCCAGGTGCCATGGGACTCCGACAAGCCGTTTACAACCTTGAATTTAAGAACATGTGCTTGAAGACTACAGAAAGATTTTGTATTTCTACCTTTTTTGCAACTATACGACAAAGACATTCGTGATGCCTGTCCTCCAAGGTTGGATGATGACATGGTATGTTGAGGCAAATGCGGCGACAATGTGGCTCTTCAAAACTACATTGACCTGAATGCACAACTTGTGACGATTTGTCTGTGTGATGATGCAATTCCTCAGATTTTCTCATTTGAAAACAGAGGGAGGTAGTGTTGAATGGATTAATGATTCCTATGAATCTCGAAGAAGATCTTGTGACAAGTCCTCATCCTTACAGAAAATTGAGATCTCAAAAAATATAAATATCTCAAGAAAAACCTCTTATGATCTCAATTCCTTGTGTGCAAAAACCCCTTCTCTCAAAATGAACACCATTTCAAACCAAAAAAACATTATTACCAATCACTACGATTCACGAATCAAAAAAAAAACTGTCCACCAACACAAAAAAAAAAAGAAACCAGAAAAATTAAAAAAAATTAAAAAAAAAAAAAAAGTAGGTGAAACCAAAAAAGAAAAAATGAGAAACAGATTTGAAGTGTTATCACCATTTGCTAAGAAATAAATAAATCAAAAAAAGAGTTTCCAATAAAAAAAGTATAAATTATGGAAATATACAAACAAATTCAAACAAACTCAAAGATCGATACCCTAATATCACTTATCCAATTGATGATCATCAGTGTCTCTCTGTAAAAGAAAATGAAGAAAACATGCTTATGGATGCAGCAGTGGAAAGGTACGATCGCATAGTAGTAGTAGGAAAGATCGATCTTGTATCTCCTTCTCACCAATACACGGAAGATATGACGAGAGAGTTGAGGAGAGAGAGAGGAGTGACCAAAAACAAGAGATGATTATCTTTCCCTATAACTACTAAATAAATTAATGCAAACAAAATTGTAACCCAGCTTGTCCATCCAAACACTCAAGCATCAAGTAGCACTCCCCCACCAAGCTTGATCACCTCCGCTAACTCTCTGACTATTCCGAGGAGCTCCGAATCGAATAGTTTCTGGTGTTCTCTCACCACTAGCACTACCTTCGTCCGTATGATGTGTTTCTGATGGTTCACTTGCAAATGGATTATGAATACTTCCGGCGCCTGCAGCAGGTGTTGTGTCGTGAACATTCTCAAAGGGACCTTGGGTTGCGGCAGCTTCAGAGGCATTCTGATTGTTTTCCATCGAGCTGGTTGGGGTGATCAATCCAGCTTGTTGTAGTGCTGCCGTTGTGCCTTGAAGTTTATTCAATAACCCCGTTCCATTGGAAGAATATCGTGTGACCGGATCGGCAGGTAGCATCAAACTATCACCCGTTGAGGCCATTTGGACATTGCCATAAGACGCATTGGTGGTGATTCCACTTGTGACTTGTGTCATCATTGGCGGACCGGTAAGTGATGAGTGACGAGATCTTCTGACTCCGGCAAAACTTTCACCTCGTTGTCGAGGTGAGCTACGCCGTGAATAGAGAACACCAGCAATCAATAAAAGTGAAAGACCGATAATTCCTCCAAATGTTCCTCCTAGTGCTTTCGCCAATTCAGTGTTACTAGAGTCATGTGGAGTGCGGCTCAAGGTATTGTCGCCAACATAGTTTGAAAAGGTATTATTGCTAGTCCTAAGGGAGGTTAGAAAAGTGTGAGGAGTCATTGTGTGATCAGTATGCCATATCTTACTTTGACCTGGGGAAAGATATAGACTTACGGGCTCGTGGGCATACCAGTATAGTTTGCACCGTTGGCACTCATAGTAGAAGTATAGACCATCTGTCGATTAGCACCCGAATCGTTGGAGGTCTGAACTGGAAGGATCGGGGCAGGAGTAGTAGAAGAGGTTGAAGCGTCAAGGGTTGGAGTAGTGACTGAAGCGCCGGGGGAAACATTGATGGTTGTATCAGGGGTGTTGTTGCTAGTTCCATTACTTGTGCCTAAATTCTGACTTGTGACTGCCGGACCGGTAGCTTCTCGGTTGACCGGAGCTTGAGCAGGGCGTGAGGTGTGAGGTTGAGCCGGCGTAGAAGCAGACAGAACCGAGGGAGTGACTGAGACCGGAGAATCATGCTTTGGCAGAGCTGGTTGACCGTGTTGCGCTGGATTAGCATCTGTAGAGAGAGGGTGAGAATTGGCAGGATGTGCAACTGTTGGTGGAGCTGGCTGAGCAAGTTTCACCGGACTAACAACCGAAGGGATGGGGCGGGAATGAGAAGGCTGAGTTGTCTTATCTGCCGTATGTGGAGCAGGAGGTTGAGGTTTGAGGGATTGTGGAATTGAGATTGGCACGAGAATGGGCTTGTGATCCGGCTTGAGAGGTGGATTAGCGATATGACCCTCCCAAACAACTGGCTTAGCCGAAGTTGGCAGACGATCTTGATCAGGACGCGAAGGCTTTGGAAGAGGTGCGGGGATGGCCGCATGTGCGGAGGAAGGTTGATATGATGACTTGAGCGGCCCACGAATCACCGCACCAGTCTCGGAGTGATGATAATAATGAGGAGCCGAGTCGCAAATCAAGCCGTCCTGTTGTCCTGCTAATCGAGTACTAGACCAATGACACCGACAACCTTCTTTATATTGATGATTGAGAAAGGTTGGATTCTGATTCTTAGCACGTTGATGAGGTAAATCAAGTGCCTTGGAGAATTCGAGTTGAGAAGGGCAATCAGTCGGTGTGATAGGGGAATTAGGTTGATGATGTATAGGAGTCGAAAGGTTTATCAATGGATTACTATTCAGATCAGATCCAGAGATGTAGGATTCGTGTGGATGATCGTTATGAGAAGGTTCAATGATAGTCCGACGAACAAATCGATTAAGGTGAGGTAAGACGTAGGCGTGGGTATTAAGATTGTGCATTTCAATTGAGTTTAAAAGTATTTGAGGTGTATTGAGATTAATAAAGGGTGAGTTGAATGAATGAATGTGTTTGAAGGATAGATTTGAAGTTCATGAAGAGTGAAAGGATCAGTTTGAGGTCGTTGTTATTGTTGATGATTTGAATTGATTGATAGAAAGGATTACTTCAAAGGTATCATCTCCAAATGAAAATGAAAATAAAAGAAGTAGAGCCAAGTTAGGCAAATGAGTTGAGTTGAATGGAAGTCAAACAACAAGGACAATAACAATTTGACAAATGATGATCTTTGGAATCAAACAAAAAGATCCACTATTGATTAAGCTAATGAAGCAAAGGAAAGGGAAAAAATTATAAAAGAATGTGATTTTGCCGATTTTCAAATTGACTGGTCTAACTCCAAGACCTTGACCTATAAGTCGAATTAATCAAACAGAGATGATGAAGTTATAATTAAATGATAGTTCCTTTCTTTCTTAAGTTCATCAACCCAAATTGATCGGAATTAATCGTGATGATAATTCAAAAAGAGAAAGAAAGAATTAAAAACGAAGGTGTGTGTGGGTGTGCTGAGGAGTTTTGATTGATTTTGATTCGGACTTGCTGATAATAATTTCAAAGAATGTCGTAAAGTTTAAATTTGATGATCAACCATTTGTTTATCTTATCTGAAGCTGATTTGATAAATTATAAACCATTTTGGACTTCGAAAGTCATACTAGAATGGATTGGAGAGTGGTAATCTTCCCTTGAAAGCAAAAGGTTCAAAAAGTTAGGATACTTGTTGAGAAGATTTGATGGTAAAAAGGGAAATAAGTTACCAAACCAATTCAAGATGGCTTGTGTGTGGATTAAACAGCTTGATTGGAGGTTGCACTGCGAAATTCCAATTTATGTTTAAAGAGGAAAAAAGAGGAAAGGCTTGAGCTTTCAAACTTCAACACGTCTCTTCAATTACAAATTAAGAAATCCCAAGAATAAATTCATGACAAATGAGAAGAAAAGTTCAAATAAAGTAGATAAATTATTCCATTTACACTCATCACGAATTTCCAACTCAAATTTCTATATCAAAGCTCTCATCTCAACATCCATGCATCAAGCCTCAAAACCACCACAATATCGTCACATCATCGGAAGTGTATCATCATCAAATCCATCTCCTCAAAGTTATCGGCATCAGAAAGACAACAAAACTGATACCTTAACAAGACTTCATTTGATATAATCAAGTGATATCCCTGACCAGAATAAGCGTAGAAACCTTGCGAAATATCTTGACGCTGGTTGTTGTAGCTTGTCCGTAGGACACGCATCTTGATGCCAAGTGACCATGGGCCGACAGTGACGCTCAGTAGGAGTTATCCGAGGTCTGTTCGTTGGCGGCCCTATGTAGGTGCTCTTCTCTACGACGTGCCTTGCAAGTGGTGGCGAAGGGGCGGTCGAAAGATACCGGGGTGAGGTTGGGTGCTTTGCGATGGGCCTCCATGTACATACATCTCGACCTCCGTATCTGAGAACGCATCGTAATGCATGAAATTTGAAGTGACTATGAGACTGGTTGACTCTGCTTCAATGCCGCATGTACATATGGGTGGCAACAGCAGCCAAGTCTTGATTCAACTATCGACAATCCAGATCTCCACCTCTCTCTCATCATGAAATTCTACATCCTCTTGACTATCATCTTGCAAATATCGCCGCGATTGGGGGACATCAACTCGGTTTCTGTTTTCCATATGAGTGATTCAGCGCTTGATGAACGGAGTAGCTTCAGTCCTTTACAAAAACGCAAAACTTCTCGCAATGTTGTTGAATGTAGACCCACAGATCGGGCACCATTCGGAGGTATATTGCAAGACTGCTTAGTGTTAGTCGTCAAATATTTTTTAAGCTCGCACCGAAGTTGAAATAGATCTTGAGTTGACAGGCCAACCCTGACCATATCCTGTTTGACTGGTATACTTTGCGATATTTAGATGTGCCGGCCAGTTGTCGAAACATCATTTGTCTTGTACCATGCTCAAAACGTGTGCCGTAAGTAGAGGGGTGGTTGTGAAGTGTCCACACCTCTTCACAATGCTGACTGTGTTTTTACTCCAGGTCGTGATAGTAGAGCCGACCACGGGGAAGCCATCCAAAGTTGAAAAGTAAGTCTCCACCTGATACTTCTTTGCAAATAATGTATCATTTGTTCAGACGTTTTGAACTCGGCCTTTTCAGAATGACAGTCGAGGAGCTCGTATATCGTTTGCCTCAGTCGCTGGACTCTACTTGTACTGTTACACCCCTACTAAGATTCGTAAGTCTCGAATCTTTTTCTACTTTCTCCAATATTCTTCCATTGACTCCATCTTT